ATGATAAGCAGTATTTAAATGCTTCTCCCAGATTAATGGATTGGTCAGAATTTAAATTACAGCAAGAAAGGTCAATATGTTTTAGACTTTTTGAAGAATTTTTGAGTCCATCAGTTATCAATTTAAACCCATAACCCATTCTTCTATTTTTAGCTAGACCAATGTATTCTAATGAAGAGCAGTGTTGAAGTGTTGTTCCTAAATATATAGATTCTTCATCATTTAAATCACAACAGTTGAAATTTATTTGTTTTAAATTGTTTGCAGAATATTTGAGTCCATCACATACTATTTTAAATCCATTTCCCATATTTCTATTAAGAGATATATTGATGTTTTGTAACATTGAGCAATATTTTAATGCTTCACCTAGATATTCAGCTTGCTCCTGTTTCAAATCACAAGCATTAACATTAATTTGTTTTAAGGAGTTTGAAGAAGACTTGAGTCCATCACATATCATTTTAAAACCAATTCCCATATTTACATTGCAGGTTAAATCAATATTTTCTATTGAAGAACATTGCATTAAACTTTTTCCTAAATTGTTTGCCTCTTCAACCTTTAGGTTGCAATGATGAATGTGAATATTTGTTAAATTGTCTTTAAATGAGTTTATTAACATAAAGTCACTGATTTTTGAATTTAAAAAATTTGATAATGTTAAACTTTTTATATTGGTACATTTTGAAAGTAGTTCAGGAGTTTGTCTATGTTCTTTTTCAAATTCTGAATATTCAGCAATATCAAAAAATTCCAGTGTTTGGCTTACTATTTCAAAAATATCCTCCACAATTTTTTTAAAATTTTTAACCTTTTTAATATTAACAATTTCAACTGGAAAATGCATTATTTTTATAAATTTGTTTTTTAATGCCAATTTAACAGATGACAAAATGTTTTTATCTACTTTTGTTAGAGCTTCATTATCAATTATTGGTTTGTCAGCAAAACTATTTAAAAAAATACTAATCTTTTCACCATTAAATACTTTAATTTTAATAAAATTTGAAATTGAAGTCATCTGACAATTTAATTTAGTATTTGCTTGATTTGTTATAGAGCTACAACATAAATAGTTATAACAATTTTTAAAAAGTTGATCATTTGGATTTATTATTGAACTATTGATTACAACAACTTTTCCAAATGTTGGTAATTCCCTTTTATATTCTAAAATCTTAAAAAAAGGATCCATTTTGTCTCCACAAAGCGTTTTGTTTTCTAGTTTTATCCTAGCCAGAGATTTTTGTTGTTTAATAAAGTTTAATGATGATTCTGTGAAAAAAATATCAGAGTTATAAGAAACATCTGTTAAACTTGTGAATGGTCCTCTTCCAAATGTTACTTCTATTATCCAAATATTGTTTTGTCTATTATTTGAAATGACCAATTTTTCAATATTTCCTCTTGCCAACTTGCTTTTTATCAGAGAATGTTCTCTTTGTATGATTACTTTGTTATTGTGAATATTTAAGCATTGAACATTGGTTGATGATATTAGTAGTAATAAATATTTATAGATTGTATCATATGAAAAGTAAAAACCATCATTCTCTATTGTAATATCTGCTATCAATGCAGAATATAGGGAAAGTTGCTCCAATAGAAAGGCAATATTTATTTGAGTATTGAAGATATAGATTTCTCTTAAATGATTTCCTCTTTTCTCAATCAATATGTTTGTTATAGTGTTATTTAAGTGTTCATTTTTTAGAATGATTTTATCTGATATTTCAAAATCTTTAGATAAATAATTTTGAATATTTTCACTACAATCAAACATTTTTTGAGCAATTTCAGAAGAAAGTAGAATATTTTGGAAAATTTCTTGTGAATATTGTTGAACAAATTCCAGAGTATTATATATTTTTATATTGTTAAATTCCATTAAAAGTTCATCTAAACTTTTCTCCTCTTTTAAACCAGTTATCTTCATCAAAATTTTGTGTTTTGGTTTTCTTTCAAACTGTTTTATTAAATATTTAGCTGAAAAATATTCTTGGAAAGATACATGATAGAGTTGCAACTCTTTTTTGTTCATTTCAGCAGGAGCAATATCAATTATACCCTTTAAACAATTTTCAACAACTTTTTCATGATTTGTATAAGAATCTAGTATGATTTTACTTTGTGAAAGGTTAATAAAACATAATCTATATATTTCTTCCATATCACATTCATCTTCATTTATAGTCTCCAAATTTTTTTCTTTTACTACGCTAACAAAATCTTCGTATATCTGAAATAGAGTTTTATGAAATATATCACCTTTTTCCTTCCAAATATAGAAGAGAAGCATTGCTAAAAGTGGTACTTGACATAAATTTTGTATGTTTGAATATCTGTTGACAATATTTTCAATAAATTCTAAAGCTTTTCTTTGATTGTTTTTTAGAAAACATTTTGTAAAGAATTCTTGAATTTGATGACTATTCCATCCTGTTAATTCAAATGCACTATCACATGTACTTATGATTTGTTCCCCTTTCCATTTTCTAGTCCAAATAGCAGTTGGAATATCACAATTCGCTTTGTTGATGATATCAGTGAATTTGTGTGCTGGAAAATGAAACTCATCAGCTCCATCTAGTAATAATATAATGTCTTTCTTATTTTCTTTAAATAATAATTCAATGATATGTTCATTGATATATTCAATATTTTGAAAATTTTGTCTATAAATCTCCTGGTAAATTGTTGTATCTTTTTCAGCTTTTCTCAAAACAATGAATAAGAACAATTTTTCATTATCAGTATTCCATCTTCTATTTGCCCACATATGAATTAAATTTTTCATATGGACACTTTTTCCAATTCCAGGTTCTCCTTGAATTAAAATCTTATTAAAATCTTTATAAAATATATCAAAGAAATTATTATAATCAATTTCAGAATTGATAAGCTTCAAGTCGATGATATCTGTTTGAATTATTTTTGATATTTTGATTGATGTTACAATATCAGTAAGTTTAACTTCTTTAGCTTCGCCAAATGGCAAAAGTTTAATTGTAGAGAAATCTTTTCTTCTTTCTTTTTTAGTATCACAGATTAGCCTTTTCCATACATATTCTGGATTACTTAAATGGTTAGCCAATTCTCTACAAAAATCATCCATTTGGCCAAGAATATGAATAATATCTATTAACTTGACATTACTCAGATGGCTGATAAGCTGTTTGATGGCTAAGTTATGCTCTTTTCTATATTGATAAATCAGTATATCTCTTAAATCATTTTTAATTATCCCTTTGGCAACCAAATGCATACAAATATGCTTAAATGTAAATGGTTCATTTAGTATTAGCTGTAGTTTTTCAATAAAAAAATTAAAACAAAGTCGATGCATTGAATCCATTTTAAGCTTTTTTATTTAAGAGAATATCATATCTCTGATAATAAAAATTCCATAAATTGTAAAAGAATGATAATAATCCAATATTTTGCTGAAAGAGAAAGAAAATGGAAAATGTTTAATTCCAAGTCATTCTTTAGATAATACAATATCAATTTAATTCTTCTAAACTATATTTTATTTTATTAATTTTTACTAAAAAATAAAATTCAAATTCTTAAATTAAATCAACATTAAAAAAAATAAAGATTCCTTGACAATGATAGAAAATTTGATTTTCCTATTTTCTAATTTAATACTTTTTAATAATAAAGAAATAAAGTCTTTTTTGTTTTGCAAGACAACTTACATTATTCTCCTTGTGTTTCTTCTATAGAAAATGCAATCAGATCAAAAACAGTCAGAGATTTTTTTATTGCATTGTTAAAAAAAATTCTTGATAGATAGTCAAGTATACTTTTTGTCAGTGTTGTCATATTAATGTTAAGTATCTTTCAAATGGCAATGATGTGATTAAAATCAACAATTTAAAAAAAAATTGTACAACTTTTGTTCTATTTTACATGCTTGAACTGTATTATTTTATGCAACTTATACATGTACATCTTAAAACCTACGCAAGAAAATGCAATAACATATGTCTGATTAGTCAGCTTGAAGGCTTATCTTTAATTATCAGTTAAGGTTTGGCCAAGTTATAATTTAATTAACTTCCCTAAGGTGTGGCCAAGTTATAATTCAATTAATCTTTATCCTTTATCAGTGATCTTATTAATATTAATATTATAAAAAAAACAGTTAAATGAATTCCATGATTGACATTTGAAATTTTAAAAATAAAGATAAATGTAGATCATATTGTGGATGATATTTTAATACAATATTGACAAAGTAGATTTCTCTTTTTACTTGATTAAATAGAAATGATGTTATCTAAAAGTTCTACACGTTTTCTGTAATTTTAAAACGGCCTAAGTAATACTATTGATACTTTCCAAATCTATTACTTAATCTGTAAACTTTCATTTGGTTCTGTCAAGATATTACAAAATTATTTCAGTGCAAACAACTGCAGGTCATGTCTACATGTTCAGATCAGCAAAAAATTATTGCATTTTTGTCCATGAGAAGGCCTCTTCAAAGAATATTTACACAAGGTTAAAAAGCTATTTTGGGGATGAAACTCTGAGTGAATCTTCAGTAAGAAGATGGGCTATTAAAATAAAAAAAGGAAGAAAAAATCCTGAAGACTTGCCAAGATCTAGTCGTCCAAAGACAGCTCTTACAGATCAAAATAAAGAATCAGTTGATAGGCTTATCAGGGAAGATTGAACCACATCTCAGAGAGCAATTGCCAAAAAATTAGATATTGGTCAACAGGCTGTTGGGAAAATGATTAAGGAGCTGGGGTACAGAAAAATTTGTGCTAATCATCCTCCTTATATTTCATCTCAATTTTCGCCCAAAATAAGAGTCCTTCAATAACTTCATCCTTACATTTTAACAGAGTTTCTGAACTAGAAAATATGGTAGAAATTTTACTTGGTTTACTTATAAGATTGTTGTTATTGATTAAATATATATATAGGACTACTTACGAAACAAATGAATGTAGGAACGAAAATTTATTTGTTATATTCTTTGCTCATAAAAGTGAATTTTTGTCCTTTTTCTTCGGTTGAAACTCTTTGCGTAAACTTTTAAGCCATTTTGAAATATGAACTTCCGATACATCTTTCTACAGGAAGAAAGGTAATTATAGAACATTTGACTGATTATCCTTACAAACCTCAATATATTCAATAAATAAACTATTAGAAAGAAATGCTTCGACAGCACTAAAATTTCCTGAACAGGTAGCCTGAATCTCAAATATATTCGTTAACTTATTCATTAGCTCCTCGTTTACTGGTTTTGCTTCTTCGTATGATAAATTTTGACTATTGAAATTAGAATATCTTACTTACTATAATTAAATGACAAATAAAGCTAAATAACTATTTACTCCATAACTGTGTCCAAAAATTGACAAGTAATTGTGATAGCCTCTGATCCTGGGGTATCGCACATATATCCTTTCTTGTAGCATATCTCTTTGTGGAGAATACCTATAAATTCAATAATCTCTGCTGCTGTACATTCACACTGATTTTCTAAAGTTCTGAGCTGCTCTGAGAATTTTTTTTTACTATCTTCATTAATCTCAGCCAATGGAGAATATTCTTTTATTAAATTAATTGCACTTTGCATTTTTATGTTTTCTATTAGAAAACTCGCTTTAAAACTCTCTCTCTACACTTAACTATTCAACAGAAATCACGTTATGGTAGTGTGAATTAACATTAAAGTCTGCATTTTTCATATATATATATATATATAAACCCTAGCGGGGAAAATTAAGTTTAGCATTTGTCAATGGTAACTTAACAATTTGTCAATAGAGTTAGCAAATCGTTGTAGAGCAGACAGTAAATTTTAGCTTATAGGCAAATTTTATCAAAATTTCTGTAGTTGCATAATTTTTTTCGGTCTAGATTCTCAGGGTTAGAATGTGATTTGTATGACCTGGGAATGTGAATGACAAAAGAAAGTGAATAACCTATAGTGCACTGACTTCTCTCTCTCTCTCTCTCTCTTACATTACAATGTAAAAGGGTAACGAGGTCGCCAAGTACAGTATTTCTTCTCAACTCTTGTTATAGATTGTTTTCCCTAATATTTTATTGTTGTATCCCCTGTTAAGGTGTAGTTCCCATATTTCCCTCAAGGGTTTAGGCTAGGGTGAAGGATTCTTTATGAATTTGAACTACATAGACAATACAGACATTTTAATTTCACATGTCAATTGACTAGTCTCCAGAATTTTATCCTTTGAATTTTCATTCCATTCAATAGTATCTTTATCTCCAAAAAACAATATCATTTAAAGATACTGTAATCATATCTGAGTAGGCCAAAAATCTTTATAATCACTTTGCGCAAATGCAGCAATATATATGTAATCTTGTGAAGTTGACAATTCTATTTCAATACCAAAGGATGTTGGAAGATTTACTCAGAATTTTTAAAAATTATAATATAGCTTTTGTAATGATAAGCCTAACATTTTGCATTTCTAATAGTTTTTCAATAGAGGGTCTACAATTTTGTATAGATAGTGTTGAGCTAGAACTAGTTCAATTGTTGACATTATTGAATCCTTTTTTGAGATTTTAGATCAAAGTTTTCAAGTATCATTACTTAACATATTTGTGTGTTTTTTCCAATGTGAGGAAGTTTTTAATCCATGACATATATTTTTCAATGCACCAAATGTATTTTTTATTGATATCATTGAAAATGATTTCAGATTTTTGTAATATTGTAAACATCTGCCAATTTGAAGATAAGTCTCCTTTTTAAGTTTACATTTTTTAAATTGCAGTATTTGAATATTTGAATATAGAGACAAATTTAACATGTTTTCAAAATTTGATAAATATAAGGAATTTATTGGATGATTTTTCAAAAAATCAAAATTTTGAATATTAATAAACTTGTTTTGATCTAGAGAGATGTTTGTCAATTGTAGAATTTCATTTGAAAAAAAGCTGACATCATTTCTGCAAAGTGGTTTATCATCAGAACAGAACAACTTGAAGATTTTCTCACTTAAAGATGCTGGTAAAATAATAGAGTGTTTCTTATAAATTTTACTCATCAAATACAAATTGTCTCTTAGGCTATCCAATGGAATTTCTTTCAAAGATTTTATTGACATTTTTCAGAAGGATTTTTTAATGCTGTTGATAATAAATATTCTCACTATAAATATCATACCAAGCCAGCTGAGAGAATGAGGTGTTTGTTACAATTTATTATACACTACATTTTAGGCCTACATTTTTAATTACACCACTCAAAACCTTAGTTAAAGTCATAAAAAGAATTTATAGTCATTATAGATAACAGTTGATGAATATAATAATTTTTTAGCCCATTCAGCAATGTAATCACAATAAATTTCTTCATGATAATCTTTTTAAGTAATCATAAATCATATATAAATCTAATTTTTGAACATTTTAATGTTATTTATCAACTTTTCCTCTGTATTGTAGATATAGTTTCTATTACTTCCTGTTCTAATTATCAACATTTTCATGACTCTTTTTAGATAATGTTTTAATCAAATTTTCCAATTGAATAATTTGTCCACTACATAAATTACTGCTTGAGAAATTCAAACTTTTTAAGCTCTTTGCTGACCACATAGATATACAGTTTTTAAATTTGAACAAGTTTTTAGCAATGTTATCCAGTTTAATATTTCTATATAGTTTAAAAAATTTCATGACAAATAAATATTCTTTAAAGTACTTGATGATTTTTGTAATCTATTACAAATAAAGTACAAATCTAATCTCATATTTTGACTTCATCTTAAGCTAAATGTCTCTATTCCAAAACTATTCATAAGCAATTTTACCAAATACTTAAATATCAATGGCTTGATAGGGTTTCTGTCAGGATTCTGTTTATTCATGTACCCTCTCCTCCCTGATTCATCTTGTTTATTTCTCTTTTAATATCTGTCTTGGTCTTTTTTGAAACTTTTTCCAGCCTCTCACAATTGCTAACCTTCTTATAGGTTGGTTTTGCAATGTATTGGACTGCTGATTTCTTTTGGGTTCAGACACCTCTTTGTAGGTTCTGCCCTCTGCAACCTTCTCTTTCACAATTTTATGGATTCCTATCGAATGCGTGTTCTTTTTTTGTAGAGTAACTAAATACATTGTCTGAAATGAGTAGTGTCAAACTTTTTTTTAATATAAAAGTTATGACCAAAAACAGGGATGACATCAGTTTTTAGAAATGGTAATGCCAGTAGTTTCTTCATTATCAGATACACCTCTTCTTTCTTCTTATAGAGAGAACTATATCCTAAGTCTTGTATTTTCTTAACAGACAGAAGTGCTTTCCAAATTGACTTTTCAAAGTCAGTTATGAATTTTCTTGGCAAATGACCATTTGTTATTGCTTTCACTTCATGTTTTCCAAACAACATTAGTGTGTTAATATTAAATTTATAGTTTGTAACCAGTTGCTCTACTCACCTTGAACAAAAGCTTATATGCTTTCATTTATTTTGAGCTCATAAATGCAAAGAGCAAAGGAACTTGTTTCAATTCACAGTTCTTTTTTACAAATCCATGAATGGTAAATAGCTGATAAAATGTATCACATGTAACACATTTAAAGGTTCCATCCTTAAACCACATCTTTTCATGAGATAGTAATTTGACTTGACTTTGTGTAGAGAAAATAATCATTCTTTCATTTTCTCTGCAAATATCATTCATCAGGAAATCTTGTATAAAAGTTTCATCAAGAGTGAAGTATAAGCCATCTGGTTCATTAGGATTAAATTGTTGTCTTGTTCTATTGATAAGTCTACAACAGCTATCAATAGATGGAATAGCAAAATTTGATTTTTGAACTTGACTGAGAACATTTTCCTGACATCATTTTATCATTTTGACCACTTTCTTTTAATTTATGTCTAAGTCTTATTTCCATTTCCAGGTTATTATTTCTTTCATGATTATGATCCATTTTGCCAAGGACAAAAGATTTATCTCTTTGGGAAATTCTTGCACAATGCTTCATGGATTTTTTTCTGACACTACATGCCCATTTAAGTGTATTTGCAGCTTTTTTCTTTTACAGTATAACTGTATCCTTCATGCAAAAGGAGATGTTTTCCTTTTTGACTCATTCCTTCCAATAGAGTGAATGCACGGTTAATTTCATCTTTTTCTAGAATATTTGAGTTGTCAAAAGAGTTTTCCACTAAATTATCATGAGAGACATTTATTGAATGGTTTCCATCATTTCTATGATCAGGTAGTTCTTGTTCATTCTCTACAATTTCATTTTTTCCATTTTTTTGCAGCAAAAGAGTTGTCTTCAACAAAGGTAGGTCTGGAACAGGTAATTCTATTTAATGAGACAAAGCAATTCTTTTTGGAGATATCAGTGCAGGTGAAACATAAATATGCATCAGACACTTCAAATATATAGAAATAAATAGGAATGATAAAATAATAAATGTGAATTTTACTCGAAATGCATTTTTTCATGAAAATTAAATTGATGAGAGCAGAGTGAGCATTTCCTTGTGAATCTTCTTTGAAATATTCTATATTTACACATTTGACAGTAAGGAGTCATCACGTGATGAAAAATTAGAAAGTTGACATCACACAATGGCCAAATAAAGGCAATGTAAACAACTGACTTATTTTAAATAAATATCTTGAGAATATGAAAGTTTTTGATGAAATAGCTATACAAAAATTACCTTGTTTTCAATTAAAAAGAATGATTACAGTAACAAAAATAATAATTGTAGAATTACAAGGTATCAAAAACAAATAATAAAAATAAAATATAACCAAAGTTGTACAATGTTAATATTTAATTAACAGTTCAATATAACATTATTTAGTACATTAATTTTGACCAGCAGAAAATTAATTTGTCTAGGTCTCAGATAAATAATGGTGTGAAGTTTTTGGGATCAACAGAAAACGGACCCAACAGAAAATGTCCACAAATGAACAATATGGAGGAGTCCTTTGAAAGTATACCAGAGGTGAACTATGACAGCAATGGTAAATTCAGAATATTCCCTACAGGAAGTCAAAAAGGCAAAGAATTACTTGTATCTAATGGTCACTCATTTGTTGTCAAAAGAAAAGACAAGACTTCCATAATTTGGAGATGTGGAGTTAGAAGCAAGAAAATGAAATGTCCTGCCAGTGTCATTCAAAGAAATAATAACTTCTCTTTGGGGTCTAAATATCATATTCACCCCCCCAAAAAAAATTTAGAACAAATTATTGAAATGAAAGTGACAGCAAAACAAAAAGGAAAGACTGACACCAATGTTAGTGGAAAACGAATAGCTGAAAATGTTCTGCTTCCTTTTGCAAATATGGGAAATATTGTGAAAGTTGAAAATTGCAAAGAAATGATAAATTACCATAGAAGAAAAAATCGTCCCAATGAACCTATTGGAAGAAACTTTCTTATTAATAATTGCTTCATTCCTGATGATTTCTTAAAGAAAGATGTCCTTGAAAATAATGAAAGAGTGATTTTTTTCTCCACTTCAAAACAACTTAGCTTACTTGCAGTGTCAAAAGTCTGGTACTTAGATGGAACTTTCAAGATTGTTAAGGACCCATTTACACAGTTATTTTCATT